GTACCGTGAGGAGAGCCGCCAAAACTTGTGCAGGCATCAAGGCCAAGGTGCTGTCGGACCCGTGGGGATCTGCGCTGCCCGGAGTCTCTGCTCCTCGAGGAGGGAGGAACTCCCTGCAAGGTTATTTCCCTGTGCACCTTTACCCTGCCTGCAACCCGTTTACCACCACGCTGCATCACATGGTTTCTTATCTACCTTGACAGGGGCAAGGCTGTAATTTGTCTACTAGCGGCGCCGTGCAAAAGACGCCCTGCCCAGGAGTGCCACGCAAACCAAATCACTCCTCGCTGCCTGCTGTGCCAGGGTTCGAGCAGAGACCCTCGCTCGGGGCTCGATCCATCCAGGTCTCCCAGGGTTTCGGAGACAACTCCCTGCAGAGAACCTGTTTTACCAGCCGCTCTCCACCAGTCAACAACTCCTCCAACACCGGTGGAGGAGGTGAATTACCTTGGGCTGAGTGGGAGGAGGCTGGCTCCCAGGGATCCAAAACAGTCATTAAAACACCTCCGTCTGGGTGCAGTCCAGCCCTTTCCAAAGAGCATGGGAGGGTGCCCTGCTCCTTTCAGCCTTTTCTGGACATCTTGGATTGAGCCGACATGGCCTCCCCGTCGTTATGAGCTTTGCTGCAGCAGACAGCACTCAACGAAGTCTCAGAAGAAGTGGCTGAACCATGGGGGTGTCGAATTTTTGGGTGCCTAAGCCCTGTGCCAGAGGGGAGCTGTGTGCCCAGGCTCATCCCACGCCTGGACCCAGTCCACCAAACCTATCGTCCCCCCCGAGGGGGGTGGTCCCGAGACTTCATCCCCCCGCGCTCGCACAGGGCAACCCTCTCCTTCAAAGGGCAGTCGTGAAGGCAACGGGGGGACTGTTTTTTCGGGGTGATGGGGGCACCCAGACACAGCAGAGCCAGGTCCAAGCCTGGTTTTTACCTGGGGCCAGCCCCGGCGCACTGCCCGGGCAGCTGTCACAGCGGATGCCTGCAGAAAAAGTCATCCAGGACCCCCTGAGTACCAGTTTGGCCTCTGAGCCCAGTGAGATCCAACTCTCCGCCAACCCGAGGGACTGGTTATCAGGTTGGGCTTGCCATGCATGCCTCCAGTCCACAGGGGTGTGCCCGGGACCTGAGCAGCCAAAGAAACTATTCTAATCAAAGGCTCCTGATTAAAATCCCATTTCTAAAAGATAGCCCTGTCTAATGAGCTGTCCGCTCTGAGCAGGGGTTCATTCTTCTTGCAGTAACCGTTTGATCTTTCAAGTGTTTTCATACATACAGAAAATTCAGTGAGTTGTGGCATAAGGAAAAAAAATTACTTAAATAACCTTGCAAGCGTCCTGCTAATTGCTGACAAACTATATATAGCAGTTCAACATCAGCAAGCTACTATAAAGCAATAAACCTTTCTGATTAATGCACAGTGAGCACTTTACTTGCAAAACTCATTGCCAAAGGATATCACTGAAGCATAGGACTTAACAGGATATTAAAAAGGATTAGACTGAATGTAGTGAAAGAACACCCCCAGCTAGGACCTACACAGCAAAGGAATATAAAACCTTACAGTTTGTGATTGCTCTTATTATTAAGATGAAGAAATTCTAGACAGGCATTTAGTGGCTGGGGATTAGGCAGAGGACGAGCCTTGATGACTCGTCCCGTCACACTCCCCGGGTCTCTATTTTCAGCTCAGAGACCTTTTGAGCTGAACGTGGTTTCCTCTTTATTTAGGACCCCTCAGTGGGTTTCTCCTCCATGGATTTGCCCAGTTTCCCTCAAACCTAGGAAAATCGTTAGTATAAAAAACATCCTTCAGCAAAGAGTTTCCCAGATCTATTCCCCACTGCTGGAAAGGCTCCCTCCTCTCCTATAGTTTGGATGAGGTCCTGCTGAGCTGTTTGGCAGCACAAAGCATTGATCTCTCATGGTTTGAGATTTTTGCTGCCACGGAGCATTTAGCTCGTGTTTTCTCTGATGTGCCTCATGTTTTTTCGTATTCACCGTAATCCCAGGCTATCACTCCCAAGTAGGCAACGGCCAGCCCAGAGCCCATCATCTTATATATGAAGTCATGTTGGATTTTTCCAACATGAGTATAAAGCGTGTCACTTTATACTCCTCCAAACATCCCTTGCTTTATTATCCCCAAACCCCAAGATCCTTCTGAACATCTGTGTCACCAGTCTTCATCTCTGCTATGCCGAATACACAAGAATTATCAGCAGAGTTTGTTATCTCACCATTGTTTCCTATCTGCTAATTGATTATTTACCGCTACTTGGACTTTCCCTCTTAGCTGTGGCTGACCTAAAGGTCTTTGCTCCTGGAAATCCAAGAAAACACTTATCTACCAGGTCGCCCTTATCCACAAGCTCATTGATGCCTTCAGTGAATGCCAGTCGTTTCGTGAGACCGGACTTTCCTTTACAAAAGCTATTTTGGCCACCCTGAGCTCATCCCCGAAGCCCAGACCAAGCTGCAGGTCCACAAAGCCGAAGGTGATGAAATTAGGCAGGGGCATGAGTCCGTGCGGGGAAGGGATGCTCAGGAGAACCAGTCTGACATTTATCCAGATCCACTCTGCGCACCAGGCTGTCGTATCTGCTGTCCCAGATCTACAACCAGGAGAGCAAAGCTATGTGCTTTTGGCCGAGGGAGTCGTGCCAAGGGACTCTGCTGCGTGCAGGCAAGGCTCTAGTGTAAAACTGCACTTCTACCCGCTTTGCCCAGGGGTGGCTTTCCAGCCGCTTCGCAGGAGGGCTCTGCCGGCAGACCTGCATCTGCCCGAGGAGCTCAGGGAGGCCAGATCTTCATCTGATGCAGATCAGCAGAAGACACCCATTTATACCCACTAAGGAGCTAGACCAGTATCAGCAGGGTTTCTTTTTCCCTTGGGAACAGTGTCCTGTGTCTCATCCCAATGCAGAGCCTGTTTCTTTGGCTACAGGGCAGTGGAGAGCTTCCAGTTTCCACAACGGTGCTGTAATTACGGCATAAAAGTCCCAGCTGTGAACCCTCCACCTCCACCCTTTTTGCCCGTGCCGGTCCCCCAGCATCGGCCACGGCTCGGCTCCTCCCTCGGCTCCACAGGTTCATCCCTGCCACGCTGACAGTGGTGGAGCGGAGTCAGCAGCATCGTCTGCCCAGGCTTCCCCCCTGGGCTGGGCCATGGGGCTCGATGGCCAGGAAAAGGGGTTTTTCACCCTTGCTCAGCTGCCACCCCATCGCTGCAGCGGTGCAACAGCTCACAAAGGTCCCACCAGCAAATGCTTTAAAAATCTCCGCTCCCCCCCGCACACGGACGTCTCCCTGCATCCCCGCGCTGGTGCTCTGCAGGCGCTGGGATAGTCCAGGGCTGTCCTTCCCAGCTACAATTCCTTCAGCTTTTGGAAAGATGCGTGCGATGCACTAGAGACTGATAGTGCAGAGAAACCTCTGCTGTGCAAAGAAAGCCAGAAAGTGTCTGAGATTGGTGTGTGTTTGCTCACAAACTGAACAAAACCCAACCACAGGCTTTTCTGTGTTCTGTAGGAAAGTAATAACCATTGTCCAAACTGCCTTGCACCTAGCTAGCAGAGGGGTTTTTTTCATTTATAATTTAACTTGTTTTAAAAAAAGAAATAGTTTAGACAAATCTTGATTCAGAAATGCCACCGTGGTGCCCCACGGATGCTAAAGTATCCTTCACGTTCCCGTTCTGCTCTGCAGATTGGCCTCCTCAGTAGATGCCATCTCCTGTGATGCCCCAGGTCTAATGATGAAGAACTATGGACATCCCCCCAAAGTGGTGTCAATGGAAACTTTTCAGGTGATGGATAGAATAAGTGTGACACATCGCCAGCAGCTGTACAACAGACTGCATCCCTCGTAGCACATGAAATTAGTTGCAATTAATGAGAAATCCCCTCTGATGTGAGCAGTGAGTGAGAGGGCTCAGGCCACAGCAAAGGAAGATGGACAAGATGGACGTACCCTGCTCACACCAACGTACCCCAGCCCAGCCCCGTTCCTCCCTGGGGCTGCAGGACACGAGCCTGGAGGGCTGCAGGAGGGGAAAATGGGGGTGAAGAAACCCATTTCTTCCCATTTTATACTGCAGGGGACACACGCAGTGATGAAACCCGGGTGGTTATGCTGTAACCCTGCCGGGTTGCCCCCGGGCCGCCTCCTGCGCAGCTGCAGCCGCGGGGTTTGATCCTGCACCTGCAGCGCTGCGGAGGCCACGGGAAGCCACGGGGGGTAATGTTTAACCTTTACCACTGCAGCCTGGCGTTAACCCCCGCGCGGGGCAGGGTGCTGCAGTGGTCTTCAGAGGCCATGGGATAAACTTTACCCCTTCCCACGCCAGGGTTGCCCATCACCGCTAGTCCTCCTCCCCTTCCTCCCTTTGCAGGTCCAGCCACCAGCTGAGCTGCAAATACACTCCGTTAAATGTTTGGGCACAGTTCAGATGTCTCTAGGCATGACCAATTAGCAAGGAGATCGCAGAGCATCCTAGGAAAGGAAGGGACCATTTTACAACCAGCTAGGAGGGATATTTTTGAAAGGCCACGTCAGGCCAAGCCCTTTGCATCTCCCTCATTACAGTTTTTCCAGCAAAGCCTTTCCAGTAGAAAATCATTGGGTTGATTAATATTTTTTTCTACAGTCCAATTTAATTTGCAATTGCTGCAATTTCAAGCTTCCAGCACTTTGCTTTGCTTTGCTTTGCTTTGGGGGCTCTTGGCTGCGATGGAGGAACCTGGAGGACGGTAGAGACAGGGCTCTGCTCCGTTCAGGGAGGCAGTACTGACTCATGCGGTTCGTCTGGAAATAAATACGGTTTCATTAGCAACTGCTCCAGCATCAGCTTCTCTACCTAAGAAGACCCTTGGGTCCCCCATTGGGGCTGAATTTTCAGTAAAAAGGGATCATCGTAGGTTCTCTTCTAATTCAGAGAGAAGAAATTGAGATTATTGTCACCTAGGAGGGAAGCCACAGTGGGACTACAGAGCTGGCCTGCTGCAAGGGGAGCCAGGCGCATCCTGGGGTGAAAGGCTCATGGGGAGAGCTGGGCTCCCAGCTGGCCCAGAGCCACAGAAGCAACTCCAGAGCAGAGGTGGAGGAAAAGACTTGGCTCCCAGTCCCCTGCTCCAACCAGGAGAGCCTCGTGCTCAGAGCGGACAGCTGCATTTTCCCCTTGAGATTCAATCCCTGTAAAGAGATGGGGTTTTTTCCATGCTTCTAATAAAACTGAAATCTGTAAAACTTTGTTTTTCCCATGACCGATCAATGTGGTTTTCCACCAGGGAAGGATGAAAGCGGGACATGGTGACTGGGAGCATCGTACTTTGAAAAAGTGGGGGAACTTGCAGAGCGAAGAGTTTTGGGGTTGGGGTTTTCTCTCCTCCCCTCAATCTAAAACACAAGGCAAACATGCAAAGTCATCTATAGCCGACGACGAGTGCATGTGGGCTCCGGGGCCTTGCTGACTTCACCCCGGCTGGCTCTCACTGCGGCTGCAGAGGCGTGCTGGCAAGCCCTGAGGCTTTGCTCTGCAGCAGTTTCAGGTCTCTTGGTGCGCAGGGTCTGACAATGAGCTGGGCACAGGCACAGGCACAGGCCGCCGAGCATCGACCAAAGCCTGGTCCCACAGCACCCATCACCCATATTGCCTTTCATCTCACTACCATTCCTCCCTGCCCCACAAACGCCACCTCTTTTTTTTTTTTTAATTACCAAATTAGCATAATTGCACTAAGCTCAGAGCAACTGTTCTCAACTCGGGCTCGGCTTGCCATTTTCTGCTTCTGTTCCAGGTCTGAAGAAGGCTTTGTTTCCATGAAACCTCTCTTGCATTTTCCAGCTATACCAGTTGGTCAGGTAACAGTTGTTACCTCTCCCTACACACCTTTCTTCCTCTGCCAGGATCGCTGCCGAGTGTGTGAGTTCCCTCTGGGGATAGCGTGCGCAGCGAGATCCCAGGACGCTGCCTCGGCATGGCTCCCGCTCGGGCAGCGAGCTCGGAGGGGCAAGATCGTAGCCGAAACCTTTTGCCTCCAGTGGTGGGGCAGGTTGGGCCCTGGCAGCATCCTGGGATCTCACCACGCATGATCTGCAGGCACCTCCGAGAGCAGAGTCCCTTGGGCTGGCCGAGACGGAGACGCGCTTCCCAGGGCTGCGCCTGCCGGGGACCCGTCCCGAGGTGCGCAGGGCGAGGACGAGCCGTCAGCGAGTCCTGGCGCTGCGCTAGGCTGCGGCTGCTCTGCTGAATTAAGCTTGGAAAGGGAAAAAATTGGGTGGAAAAGGCTCTGTGTGCCGTGCAACTGCTCCGGTCATGCAGGGGGTGGTCTTGGCCCCAGTTAGCAGGATGGAGGGTCAGGTGGAAAGACAAAGACTGAGCTTCTGTGTACTTTCCAGCTGACAGCCACCTTTGATTTAACCCTAATTTTGGGAAGAGTTTTCATACTGAGTCTTAAATGCCCTGTGAAGGAGCTGCTGGGTGTTGCAGCAGCCCACGTGCTGACGAGCATGCTAGAAGTAAGTGTTCCCATCAGTTGCCATCTGCCCTAACCCTCTTTGCCCAGGGACAAAAGCGAGAGGTTCCGCTCAGTATCCCTGAATTGGCCAAAGGAGGGGGTGTGATGCCCAGAGCAATCCAGCTGTCCTGCTGGTTTGGAGCCCAAACCCAGACCCACCTCCCTACGATGGGTCTCCCTGGCTTGCACTGCCAGCCACTGAGCTACCCGAGTCTGCTGCAGAAAGTCCTGCAAGACCCAACTGCACGGGGCCACCTTTTTCTGTCCCTGAAGAAATGCAATGTTTTTCTGGGAAGACTGAGCTCTGTTGGAGACCACGCACTTTTTGTTGCTGTTTTCTTCCAGCCCTGGTGCCTGTCTGGGGCCCTGCACTTTTTGCTCCGAGTTACAGCATTTTCTGTATTTTACAAGCTCACTACACAGGGACAGGGGCATGCTGCAAAACACCCACGGTGTGGCACAGGTTTGAAACCATGGATGCTGCGATTCCTCTGGGTATCTTGAGGACATGGACAAAGCACTGCTACAACCACCCAGAGCACCCCGGCGGGCTGAGCCTCAGCATCTCCTGCAGTGCAACCAGGCAGAAGACCTAATTTGGTGCGAATTGTCACCAATTCTCCTCTCCAGCCCTGCTCTGGGGATGAGCTGGAACATTCCCAGCTGCTTGCGCTCAACCAGCTGCAGTCTGGGGGACTGTGACATAGAAAATGATAGGACTAGTGGGGAAGCGTGAACTGTTTGACCTAAAAGATGGATTCATCTCATGCTCTCCTGAAACATTGCTCGAATTAAGCCTTAAAGTGGGGCTGCCCCAATCCCCACAGCTCCGGTGCCTGAGAGGGGGCAGCCAGTGGGAGAGTTGGTGCCTGGGTGAGCAAGCTCTGAAGGCTTTTCCAAAACCAGAGGAGAAGGAGGGGTGGGGGGAGCGGGCAGACAGCCATCTCCGCACTGAGACCCAAGCCTTGCTGCTTGGGAGGCTGCTGCGTCGTTGGAGCTCGGCGATGGCTGCGGTGCATGGGAGGGGAGAGGGGTGACCCGTGCATGGGGCCGGGGGTCTCAACAGAGCTGGTGGGGCACCAGGCACCGGGGAGCAGTCTCTGGGGCTGGAAGAGATGAGTCCAAAGCAAGTCTGATCCCAGGGCATGCTGCTGGCCTGAGTGCCAGCACAGGGACATTGCGGGGTGGCAGGAAAGGACCAGGGTATCTTCTCCACCGGGCTGTGGACCAGCACCTGCCCTGGCCAATGCTCCCACAGTGACGAGCCCACGCGGCGCTCTGCCCGGGAGACCGTCCTTTAATACACGTGCAGCCGCGCGGGTACATCTCAGGCTGCACCTGCCGGAGGATGGGGGAGTGGGAGGACCAGCAGCCGTCCCCGGGGCCTCTCTGCAGTGGTGGGAGGGGAGGGATGGCCAGTGGCCCCTTGGAGACAGCATGGCCCATGCCGGTGATACCGGGGAGCCGCTGTGCTGGGGCTGTGCGGGAGCAGAGCTGATGGCAGAGCTGGAAGAAAGAAGGTCAGATCTTCCCACACAGTTGTCCACGTGTTTCAGCTCGGTGGTGAATTCAGGGTAAGGGCGTAAAGAGCACAGAGGGGCAGCAAGGGAAAGGGAGGCAGGCAGCAGGGGTGGGGAGGCTCTTCTTCCCGATGCTCCTGTGGGAAAGAAACAGAGCAGAGCAGTGGGGCAGAAGAGGATTTTTGCTGAAAGCAGCCCTGCTTCCAGCAGCCTGAAGCTGGTGCCAGCAGCACCCGCACTGTGCAGGATGAGTGCAGCATGGGTGGATGACCCCAGAGAGCCAGGGAGGACAAGCTGGGAGAGCGGGATAGCTGCTGGCAGGGGCTCCATGGCGGGGACATGCGGGACAGGCACTTGTCCCAAGTGTGGGGTGGGAGATGGGGCAGGAGATGCCTTTTTCTGTAATAAGTGGGGGTGTTCCTGCGTTCACCCGGCCACAAGCACAGATCAGGGATGAAGCACCGGGCATTGCAGGGGAAGGCAAACCGGTCCCCTACCTCTCACTGGCCCGTGGGGGACTTGGCAGCATCGAACATCTTCTTTCGCCCCTCCATCCCCGACATGGCCTCCACGTTCTTGCGCCAATCGCCCACTTCCACGGGGCGCTCCTGCCGGGAGGGACAGGGACGGGGGTGTGATGGGGCGGCCCGCAGCCCAACGCTGTCCCACCCCGTTGCGCAGAGCCCTCGGCCCCGCATGCAGGCAGCAGAGGAAGGCAGCTGCCCTGTTGCAAACGCCCTCTCCCTTGGAGCCAGCTATACCGTGTGCCCTTGCAAGTGGATCTGGCTGGGAAGACGGCAAACAGCGGTCTGATCTCTGCGAGGAGGTCCGGATTCTTGTGGATACCCCCCCCCAAGCCTGGCTAAGTTGCATTCATGCACCAGAAGGCACAAAAAACCCAGAAAATCTCTTTAGGAGGAAGAAATCAGCACATGGGAATCACTCCATATTTACACTAGCACACCAGGGCAAATGCAAGCAAAAACACCTTCTGCAGAGACCTCCCAGCCCACAAAAACCCATCTCTACCATCTTCTCCAAACTTTTGGAGGGGACTGGGATTGCTGGTGTGACAGTGAGAGCCTGGCAGCCGCTTCGAGAGCAGAAAGGGGAGATGATGGCAGCTCTGGGAGCATGCCCAAGTGTCTGCTCTGCCAACACATAAGCGTTCATAGATTACAAGCCATGCCCCAAAATCATCTCACGACATCTAGAATAAACTCAGATCTATTCACCACCTGATGTTGAGGGCTGTAAACACAGTTTTTATCCAAAGGACTGAAAAATGTGCCCTGTTAGCAACAGAGGGGAGAAAATGGAAAAATAATTGAAAATTGAGATTCTTATCCAACCTGCTGAGCTGGGACCAAGGGGTAAAACCCCTTTAGGGAGAGGCACTAGGAAAGCAGCACAACTCCTGCAGTTGGGGTGCCTGCACACCTCAGGCAGGTTTGGGCATCACTGTCCGTCTCTGGTATTGAGAGACTTTCCCCTCTCGCGTCTCTGCAAAGCCGGAGTGAACTGGGCCGTGTATCTCAGGCTAAGCATGCTTGCTGGGCTTGCTCTGTCTTATCTAATCTGGGTCTGGGAGTTTCCTGGGTGTTTTCTGGGCGTGATTGCACTGAATAGGAGCTCTCCTGGTTCCCTAGAAGACCAAAGACCAAACTCCCTCCAAGTGCAGCTCAACAGACATGCCAAGGGGGCCCCAGCTGAAAGACCCCCACATGCTCTGGGAGGGAAAAGCATCATGGATGTAGCCCTAACTCTCACTTGTTATCATCCACCAGTTACCTGGCCCAGTCAAACTGCTCCCACGTGGTCCTACAACATCCTGCAGTGGGCAGTGCCTCACAAGGACTGCCCCATGCTATTTCTGAGGCTTACAAGGGATGATCACAACCCACGCAGGCTTCACAGGGGACCTTGGAGAAGGGCAAGGCATCCCTAGGAGATGTCTCCATCTCTGACCTCTAGAAGAGTCACCCACCTTCTCCGTGTCCTCCTTCTTGACAGACTTCAGGTTGGCTCTCAGATCCATGGAAACCTTGTGCTTGGAGCCCAGCAGAGCCCTCAGCATGGCATCGGCGGAGACGCGGACTCGCCGCAGGGGGGGTCGCTTGAACTTTCCTCGGAGATCAAGCACTTTGATTTTCAGATCTTTAATCTGCAGATTGAGGAAAGAAGGAGGAGTGGGAGGGCATCACATGGCTGCCTTGCACAAAAAGTTCCTGTGTGAAGCAGGAGTCTTTGCCGAAACTGAGCCCCAGGGGGTCTTTGCCTCTCCTGCAGCCATGAGGACCACCTTCACCAAGGGACTGTTCACCCTAGCATAGAGCTGTTGTCATTGCCTTGCCCCAACCTGCTCGGATGGCAGCCATACCACGAGAGGGAGCTCTCAGACCCACAAGGGATGACCAGAAGAGCGAGGACCCAGTGGACAGCTTGAGCTCCCTGAGGCAGGGACAAACCCTGTGCTGAGTGATGCCTTGCAGAGCAAATACCAACCTTTAGATAAGCCTGGTGCATGCCCCACATCCAAGCTCAGCCCAGTCCAAGACAGACCCCCATCGAGGCCCAAGCTACCATCTGGGAGGGAGCTAACACTGAAGCAAACAGCCCATCCTGCCTCCTACCTCCCGAGTATTATGGTTGCATTTCGCTTCGATGTCATATCTCTCTTCATCAACAATTTCAACCTTCTCGTGCAGCTCCCTGCACAGGTCCTGGGGGCCAAACACAACAGGAGAGCCGTGAGCGATGCCCCCCATGCTCCCGAGGAGCTCACTCCACCCTCAGACCTGAGAAATACCTGGAGCTGGCTCAAGGAAAGCCCACTGGTGTGCAGTGGTGTGATCCGCTCAGACAGGTATCTTTCCTTCTCTGACTGCTTGTCCACGATCTCCTGATCCCACTCCTCCTTTGCTTTTGCCAGCATCAAACTCTACGAGCACAAGTAAATGGCAGAAGTGTGAACAGACAGGCTCCTCTGTTCCCCTTGAGCCTCCTCACGCAACATCTGTAGGATGGGACCGTCCTGTCTGCCTCCCAGACCTCCCCTCGCTGTCCTCCCAAAATCACTGTGCTGCTGCAACACACATCAAAAAATCCCTACAGCTTTTGTGTGGTGACCCTGAAGGCAGGAGGAACAGCAGGGCCAGAGACACCACGGGGCTGCGGTGGCGGTGGTCCCCATGGATGCCGACGTCGGCACTTTCTTTGCATTGGTTTGCTCTGCTGTGGCAGTAAATGATTTTGCCAGGCCACAACCCGGGGAGCTCCCAAGCTTCTGCTGCAGAGCTGCTGGTGCACAAACACAAGGTTTGTGGTTTTAGAGCAGAAGGCGTCAGAGTCTCTCCCCACCTCAGTAAAGTGGAGGTGAGGGGAGGTTTGTTTGGTGTACGGACCACAAAGCCCACATGAGTGAGGATTTTTGAGAAGACAAGAGGTGGGAACGGGAGCTGCTCCCCAAGGCCCATACTTCTGCCGTACACCTCATCGCTGTCCCACCGACCACGCACTTCAACCCCAGCTCCTTTTCCTCAGCAAGACAAACCCCAGGGAGTTTCCAACCCTCAGGACTCACCTTCAACAAGAGTTTGCGTGAGGCTGTGATCTTGGATTTTCTCTAGGGGAAAGGGGAAGGAAAAAAAAAACCTTTGAAAACAAACTCACAGCAAATGCAGAGTAGCATCGAGATCGCTCCCGAAAGGAAAGGCACTTACCTCCCTGCAGGCAGGCGTGCGTTCAGGAAGGAGCAATAAGGAACAAGAGAAGAGAACAGAGCATCAGTGAATAAGAGTCAAAAAGAGGTGACAGCCAAGAAAAGCATCTCATGTGATTGCAGTTGGTTTCCTTATTTCTCTAATAGTTGCCACCTGCAAGTGAGCCAGGTCTGAGATGACGGTGCTCTCTGGAAGTGTAGTGGGTGCTCAGGGCCGCTGCTCAGAAAGCCAAAATGCCACTCAAACACGGCACACGAGCTGTCACAGTGCCCATCGTGCCAGCCCCAGCTCGGTCCCTGCGGCTCGGACCACAACACCCTCATTCATGTGCTCCCCACGCAGGGACTATCACGCAGCATGCTTGGATCCTGTTCAGGTTTGCAGGGCTGGGGCATCTCAGTGTCGTTGCTTGATGAAAGCCTTGCAGGGAGATTTCTCCCTTCTATTCATGCCAAGGAATATGTTATAGTTGTATGATATGCTACGAAGAGCCTCATGGCAAAGCAAGTGGTGCTGCCCACCTCAGATCCCTATTTTGGGACCTAGGAAATCTCCAAGGTTTGAATCGGGACATTGAAATGGCTAACAATTTTTATTTAAAGACAGTTTTTGCAAGGGGAATGGCACAGAGGTCTTGAGCATGGGCTGGTCTCCCAGCTGAACCCCCCCAAAAACGGACGAGCTCAGCTGGCACGAGCAGCCCAGCGGCCAGGCGAGGATTTAGCGAATTCCAAGAGAAACTCGTGCTACTTACGGCTCTGGCATTGCGGCGTCGCGCTGTTCACCTGCAAAAAAAAAAAAGGGAAAGAAGCTGAAACAAAGGAGCAAATCCCAAATCTATCCGAACCCAGAAAGCGGTGGCGGCGGGATGCTCCTGAGGTCCGGTGCTGCCCCGTGCTGTTGGCAGAGGGAAGCGACTCCGCAGCCTCGCCATCCCGCTGTGAAACACCAAGACGAACTGCCTAGCTCCAAGGAAACCTTATTTTGGGCAAGCTCCAACCTGCCTCCAGCCGGCCCTGCAGGACTCGGTCTCCTGCTCCTCGGGGGTTTTCCCAAGCACTGAGCTGCTCCCCCGCCAGCTGCATCGCCCACCCCAGCTCGGGGCGAGGGGATGGAGGCGAGCGTGGCTGGAAAGCTCAGGAGAAACGGGGTGCCTCGGGGCCCCCCGCACTGTGTCAGCTTGGGGAGTCCCATCCCGCAGCTCCGCGTGGGCAACCGCACGGGTGGGGGAGCAAAAACCCATCTCGGGAGTGACGGAGCAAGGGGCAACAAGTCACAGCCAAGTGGCTGAGCAGATTCCTTTAGCATCTGCGTCCCTGGTGAAATACTTACGGTTTCATATTTTAAATTTGCTTGGTAATCCTATGCCCCGGCAGCTGCTTCAAAATGCACTGCCTCGCTAGCTTCCCCGGCACTGCCTCTAACACTTCCCTCTCTTGCCAAGAAGCCAGGGCACTGCATAAGTTTAGGTAACAGAAAAATGTGTGGGAAAATGCCAATCAATTTTTTTTTCTCTCTTTCCTACCAGGAGTAGCAAACTGAAGCCACATTTCAGAAAGAAACAGCATTTTCCAGTGGTGGGTTTAGTCCTTTTCCTTAGAACTGAAACAGCAAAGCTGGGATTTTTTGCCTTGATCTCTTTGCATCCCCCTAAATTTGGAAACTGTTTGAAACCCCAAAGATTCC